CATCATTCATCAAATCTTCATAACAATTTATCACTAAGTAGTGTCCATGCTTAACATCTTTCCTCCACCGAGACAAAATATATCGTGGATGAATTTCTTTAACATCCTTCTCAATCAATATCTTCACCATATGCCTACAAATAATTCCTCGAAACTCAAACAAATGACACGAACATTGTATATCACAAGCACTCTCATCATAATTAACACTATAAACAACTTTTTTTAACTCTCCATGTTTCCCTTCCACAATATCTGTGACATGAAATACATATTGTGCACCATCCACTTTGACCAATGAAGAATTACATAGAACAACTTAAAATTTGCATTTGTGTACGCCTCGTGAAACTGTCTTTCAAAATAAAACCCAGTTACTAATTTATATGAAGAATTAAGAGACTCAAAATCAGCCTTAGTTTCTTTCTCAATCTTGCTTTTCAGCGCGTTGTTATATTTCTCAACAAATTGGCGTAATGAGGTTTTAGAATTAACATACGCATAAAAAAAAAACATCCATGCTTTCACTTCTTTGTGTAGTAGACATTCCTGCCCAAAAGTTTACTTTTACATATACCGGCACCCAACACCTTCGATTGTTAAATAAAGAATGTAACCACACATTTTTTTCAAGTCCGTATTTTTCAACCAGCTTGCACCACCCATTTTCAAACTCTTGAGTGTCCATAGATTCATACACAAGGGTTTTTAGAGTCTTCTTTATTACTTTATATTGAGCCAACCTACTTAATTTTTCAGGAATCTTTTTCATAATATGCCAAAGACAAAGATGATGATGAGATTCAGGGAATACCTGTGCCATTGCTCCTTGCATTGATCAACATTGATCAGTTATTATTGCTTTTGGTGCCCGTCCATTCATGCATTCTAGCCATGACTTGAATAACCATACATATGTTATGTATCCTCTCGTGAAAGCAAACCACATCCAGATAAGATAGATTGCCCATGGTGATTAACTCCAACAAACTGCGCAAATGACATATTATATTTGTTTGTCAAATATGTGCTATCGAATGAAATAACATCTCCGAATGACTCGTAAGCTGCCCTAAACCTTGCATCTGCCCAAAATACATTTTGCATACAACCTTCATCATCCATGTCATTCACGTAGAAAAAATTTGAACTCCTTTTTTGCATACGGACAAAATAATTACGAAGTATCTAGGCATCCCCAACCCCAAGTCTTAGTTGTCTCCTTTTTTGCGTGATCGGAAGATCCGACCTGGGACACAACATATGCATCATTCTATTTCTCAATCCCTCTATCAAGTTAGTCGTATGTTTACTCCCTCTGCATGATTGGAAAATTCGACCTGGGTGTATAACATATGCATTTTAAATATAACTTCTCTCCTAATAATTGTTTGTTCATCTAAAGTAAGGAGTATTCTGGAAGTTCTTGATTACCGGAGTATGTCAGGAAGCAGGAAACATGTTCTAGGTCATCTAAACATTCAATAGGTTGTCTGTAGATATCGCTGCTAATTTTAGGTGGATAACAATATCCGTGATCATCGTCAGCTAAATGGCCTTCTAGGAATATCATTTAGGATCATAGGGTCAAACGTCTTGTCACCTGTTATATGTCGAAATTTGTCACAATTTTTCGTGTTTAAGTGGACAACAATACCAACGATTGTCCAAATCTACTCATGAAGGTGGAAGTACTGAAAAACAGATTAAAGTTGTCCTAAAACTTTGATCCCATAATCACAAAAGGTTTACCTGCAATGGTGAAAAAAAATTTAGTGATATTTCATTTTATTTTTATTTCATTTTATTTTTTCTTTAAAATTTTGCAAAGTTATTTTAGTTTAAATTTTTAGATTTTATTTTATTTTATTTTTATTTTATTTAAATGTCCTCAAATTGTTTTTATTTTAATTAAAATTGAATTAGCGGCCCCTTTTTGGATTTCCAGCCCATTCTTGAGTCGTGAATGGTCTAGGGTTATAAAAGGAAGGGTTCTCGGCTGTGTATACTTCTACAGTTCACATTTTAGTTTACGGTCGTGAACCCTTTCACCGATTCTCTCTCACTCAAATCTCGATTCATCATTTCTTGTGTTTGTAATCTGAACTTGCTCACTGATTTGTATAGGTACCTCCAAAACGACCACACTCATGCTAAACGTAATAAAACACGACTGCATTTCGAGGGTCAATTGATGCAAAAAGCATTTTCGGCACTGTTGAGGCATTTGCGGCCTCTGAAGCGTTTACGGTCGTGAACCCGTTCACGGCTGTGAACCCTCCTTTGACCATGAACTCAATTTTAAAATCAAAATAAAAGCCTTATTAATTGAATAATGAGAAAACTTAATCTTTAATGACTTAAATCATTTGCTTTCTCGCTTGACTTGGTTTGTGCAGTTCAAAATGATCGAATGGAAATTTTCAGACAATCACAATGTTGTTGTTTTCCTGGTGGATCCACCATCTGCACATAGCGACTTCAACTCCATGGTTCATGGACTGAAGAAATGTTGTCTGGCTTATGCTCTCAAATCCTATCCAATAATCTTTCAAGATCTAGTGAAGCAGTTTTGGAACTGTGTTGTGGTACGAAAAGAAAATGATGATGAAATTTCTTTAGAAGCTACTGTCAACGGAAGGAAGATCGTTGTGTTTGAGCAAGTTATTCGTGAGGTTTTACAGATTAATGACCAATCTGGACTTCCAACCGAGATCTCTATAAACCAGACCAAGGAAATTATCGCATGCATGGGCTATGAGGGTGAGTTTCCTCCAACAATCAAGAAACTGCTGCCACCCTACTGGAGATTACTGGTCCATGTGTTTGTAAGTTGTATCTCTAGAAATAGAGCCAGGGTTGAAGAGGTCTTGTTGTTAAACACGGGTGCAATTGCTTCTCTGGCTACTAGACTTGACTTTAATTTTTCGAGATTCGTCCTGAACGAAATGGTGGGTAATGTAGAGGGAAAAAGAAAAGACAATTTTCTCTTGTTTCCGCGGTTCCTTCAGATGATCTTCAACAGAAAACACCTGGAACTTGAGAAAAGAGGAGACACTCATGATTTGAAGTCTATTGGTTCCAATACCTTTGGACTCATGAAACAAAACAGAAAAGGAAAATTCATGTTCCAAGGCAAATATCCTTTGGTGAAATTCGGCCAATTCGTAGAAGTTAGTGATTCAACTGAGACTAAAAGCTCATCAGATCCTATGGAAACTAAAGATGACGTGATCATTGCTTCTGAGCATGAGGAAGAGCTTGTTCCTCCGATTGCTATTGTCACCGAGGAGCATGTGCCTATTACCATTGAAGAGGGCAATGAAGATGAAGACACGGAAGATGATGATGAAGAGTTTGTGAATCTTGGTGATGATTTAACTGGTTATGATGATGATCAGATATTCGGGTTTGAGGAGGATGAAGATATAAGGGGTTTGCAGTTTGCTTCCACTGCAACCAGACCGGCCACCGGAAGGTCGAGTGCCCCAAGCTTCGTCAGGGATCAACATAGAAATCTGCACCTGCTGCTTTGCGTGCTACTGATAGTCGGCCGGTGAAGGCCGATGTTCTGAGGGCTCGGGGGAGAGTTTTTCAAATGACATTGGAGGAGGTCCGCGCAGCACCTGATGTCGTGGCCGGTACATATTTTCTTATTTATTTATTTTGAGATTTATTGTGATTATTCTATGCTATATTTAGGTACATTTCTTGTGAATTCTGTACCTGCTTTGGTGTTATTTGACTCGGGTGCGAATCGATCCTTCGTGTCCTTAGCTTTTAGTTGTCACATCAGTATCCGACGTGAGGCGTTGAGTTGACCTTTGATGGTTTCTATAGCTGACGAGCATGCGATTTTTGCTGTTGATGTGTTCCGAGGATGTGTGCTGGAGATTTTTGGTGTCAAGTTTCCGATTGATCTGGTACCGATTGCAATGGGTGATGTCTGTGTCATCGTGGACATGGATTGGTTGAGCCATTTTGGAGCAGTGATCGACTGCGAGCGTCAGTTGGTGACTATACGAGACCCCAGTGGGGGAGTGCTTACAATGTATGGCGAGGGTACCAGATCTGGGTCAACCGACTGTTCGGTTGTCAGGGAGAGACAAAGTTTACAGCAGGTTTGTATGGGTTTCTTGGTGTACTTGATGGATAAGCAAATTGTTTCAGAGACGCCGAGCGCTATCTTCCGAGAGGCAGGTGGAGTTTCCTACAAAATTTCCGATGACCAATAATTCATCGGATTTTCCTACACATTACCGATGAACTTTCAAGGAAAATGTGTTCTGATATTTTCTAAAAAATAAACTCCAAGGAGCCTCACATTTTACGTTAAAAGTTTTTCATTTAAGTGGATTCCTAACAAGTTTTTCGGAACTTCCGAAGATATTTAAAATAAAAAACAATATACATTATAAATATTATTAATATTATCATATGATATTATTACAAACATTATTTGTGATATTGTTATTACTATTATCAATTTGTTATAAACAATGTCAATATCTTTATTATAACTTTATTATTTAAAATTAACAATTACATCAATAAAAGGAATATTGTATTCCTTTCAAAGCGAAGTATGTTGCTCCTTGACGCCAAAACAAATGACCAATATTTTTGTTGACCAAATAAAAATTATAAAGCGTATTACAAAAACTACCAGAGACTCATCACCTTTCGTTTAGTAGTAAAATACACAAGACATTTTATGGTTACGTTTAATGAAATTTATAAGATGGGCATTACAAAGATCACAAGTTTTATCCCACTACCATGAGTATCAATCCCAATCCGAGTCCAATACATGTCAAACAGAGTACAACGTCATCATACTCTACCTTATCCGGTATAAAGTTAAGTTACTACAGCTTTGAACTACAATTATAAACAACATAACATAAACAAAAAAAAAAAAAAAAAAAAAAAAAAAAAAAAAAAAAAAAAAAAAATCCAAATCATCCCCGAAAAAAATAAAATAAAATAAAATAACCAAATCAAACGGACCCACGTGAGCGTATATCACTCACTTGCCCGTCTCCTTTTGTCGGCACGGTGTACATGTTCTTAAGCAAATCCTGAATCTTATTATACATCATCATCTGAGACGGCTCACCACCACCACCACCACCGCTGCCACTGCTGCCGCCACCTCTAGATGAAGTTTCCGCCAACTTCATCTTCTCAAATAAATACTGTTTTTCAGCTTCAGCCTCATGCAACCTCTGTTTCAAATACCTGTTGGCGTAATCGTCCTCTGATTTTTCAACTTTTGCAAGTGCGATCCGTTGCAGGCGGTCGGCTTCCCGGCGGGCCTCGGCGGCTTTAAGGTCAAACATCTCGGCCTCAGCCTGTTTGAGTCTGACGATGCTTTCAAGCTCCTCCACTTGTTGCTTCTTTTTTTTCTTTCCAATTTTAAGGCGGCTACTTCACACGCTTTGTCTTTCAGTTCTTGATCGCATGCCTCGAGTGCCAAACGCGCTTTTTTTGTCATTCGCACTTTTTCTTCTTCCACCATTTCCATTTTTTTAATGGCTTCTTGGACCACGTCTGCTATTCGGTTGAATGCTTCTTGTGGGGCCATTACCACGCCACTTTCTTCGTGTTTTCGAGGGTCTATGTCAAACTCTGCAATAAACGGCAATGTACTTTCATTTCCTATTTTAAGTTTTTCCTATTATTTAAACATTGTACTTCAATATTCTACCCAATTATAGTATTTTACTTTTAATTAGGACGTTACACTTTGAAGAATCTATCGTGAAAATTTCATTTGTATTTGGATGACATTGCCTTAATTGTGTTAACACAACCTTAACATTATCAAGTGTTTAAAGGGAGAGAAATATGTAATAGCTTCCTACTTTTAATCCTTTTTAGGGTAAAATACAATAATTGCAATGTACTTTCATTGACATTTTACAGCAGCCTACTTTTGTTTTTTCCTATTATGGTGTTGTACTTTAAAAGATAAACCCAATTATAGCAATATCATCCAAATACAAAACAATTAAACTATATTCCATCCCGATTATACCATTAAACTTCAATATTGATTTTATAATTATTATAATGATAACTATTATTATTATTATTTTCTCCTTTCTCTATTTTCTAAGTTTTTCCGATGTATTACTACGGAATTATGATATTTGACCATGAAGAGTGATCTCTTATCCCATATCAGACTAGTTATTTTTCATGGATAATTGCCGAATTATGATATTTGACCTTATAAAATGAAAACTACAATCAAATTAACTAATTAAATATTTCAGCAGAAAAAAAAAAAAAAAAAAACAAGAGTAATTTACAAAAATAGTCCTCATGGTTTGGGTTAATTTGCACATTTGATCCGTAACTTATTTTTTTAACTTGGAAGGTCCCTACAGTTTATTTTTGTTGAGCGCTTGGTCCCTGTCTTACATAAAAAGACTATTTTGCCCTTATTTTTTTGATTTATTTAAATAAGTTGGCATAGGTAAGGTAAGGTAATGTGAGGCGGAAATGGGGTTGGGATGTGTTTACGTAAGACAGGGACCAAGCGTGTAACAAAAACAAACAGTAGGGACCTTCTGAGTAAAAAAAATAAGTTATGGACCAAATGTGCAAATTACCCCAAACCATAAGGACCATTTGTGTAATTTACTCAAAAAAAAAAAAAAAAAAAAAAAAAAAAAAACTACATGAGAATATTGATTACCTTGGAAAAAGGAGAGTATTGCCTTTGAAGCAACAGGTTCTGCTACCCCAGTTTTGAGCTTTTCCACAAGTTCTCCACACTTCCAATACAATTTCCTCCCTCTAACTTCTTCACTCCCTCGAAAAATCCTACTCACATATTCAAGCTCTCTAACCAAAGCCTCTCGATCCCACAAAGGAGCACAATGATGAAACACATCTTTCACCCATCCAAACAATTCAGATGTCCTCATACACGCCCTACACCTAAAAACCATCTCCCCCAAACTCCCACCATTCCCAATTTGTGCATTATGTATTGCACAATCCGTATGCGTCCAATGAGAACACACATCACACCCGATCCAACGACACGTATTCACCTCAAAATCAAACTTGCTACAGATCACACACATGCAAAGATTACAGAAACCGTTTCTTTTCACACAGATCTCACACGTGCAGTTATCAGCAGGGATCTGGTTTCCACACGCGATGTTTCTACATCTTTTGTATAAAAAGATTTCGATTAAAGAAGCTTGAGATAGACTAACAGTTGGACGAAGGAAAGCTTGGATTCCAGTCTTTATAGCAACCAAGATTTCTAACTGTCCTCGGTGAGCTAAAATGAGGGTCTTTTCGGTCAAATCACCACAACTCAAAACCATTTTTTGAAGAAAAATGTATTCTTCTCTATGTTGATGACCACCCATTCCTTCGATTAGACCACGGAGTTCGTTTTTTAGCTTGTCTAAATACTCTTTGGGAAGATGATGCATTCTATCTGCGATTATATCGACGCGTTCTCTTGAAATGCCTCTAAGGGACATTTTGTCAGTTATGTGGCGGATGACTGAATGTTCGGCTTCTAGTGGTTTGGATATTGTTAATGGGTCGGGTGTGGGCCAGGTTTCACGGGAACTTGCACTTTCGGTTGGTGAATCACGGATTTGGTCTGAATTTGAGCCACGTTCTTGAATGTTGGGAGATCCGCATGCTTCACCTGGAACAAGAGTTAGAGATGTGTGGAGGACCCCCGACTTTGGTTGCTGACGTGGCGGAAACATTGGTTACTGAAGTGATTAACAAACACATATGGAGATTTAGTTTTAATATTCAGAATGAATCATCATGACTGTAATTGAAGATGATAGGTCAAACATTTGCATAATAGAGTAAGATTCAAGAACAAATGAACAGTTACATATTTGAGTCTTTAAAATGTTCAGGGAAAAAGGGGTATCATCAAGGAAAGGAAGTAGAGAGATTTTTCTTATGTGCCCAAATAAACCGTAAAATAAGTTTGTAAAAAAGCCCAAAATCTTTCCGGTGATATCCAAATACCAAAAATGGAAATCTAGATATAGTAAGCACCCAATTTCGATCTTCATAAACGTCGTAAATTTCATATATGTCATCTTCGAAATCTTAAAAATGTTTTAGAATCGTAATTCGAGCAAAACAGTTGACTTCTGAAACTCAGAGAGCTTCTTCGTTTTCAATTTCATCACACTGCAATTCATAAACCTCGGGATCCTAAGCTTCCAAACACTACCTTCTACACACGTCTAGTGCTAAATCAACGATTTGATGTTCCAATCGACAAAGACTATGAAACGGGAACTATGGATTTCGTTAAAATCCAACATATATAACACGAAATGCAAAAATAACATAAATCTAATCGGAAGTAGACTCACCAGAAACCAAAAAGTCCTCGATTTGAAGAGAAATTAGATGGATAGCCTTCAAATCAAGCTTTCAAATTAAGTCGATGAAGAGAGAGAAACACGTAATTTTAAGATCGCTCTCCCTTCTCTACTTCTGCAATCCTTCGATTTGACCTGACGAAAACCCTAATCCATTTTTCTTGTGTTTATACCAAAGAAGGAAGCCGACCGTTTTTTCCCTTTTCACCTTTTTCTTCAATGCGTTGACCGGTTAATCCGGTCATCGTCTTGGCGGCTTCAGCGTTCTTTCACTTATTTCGGCAGTGGACTAACAAGCCCCACAACTATCTCTATATATTATAGACACCCCTCCATGATTCGGTAAATGGGAATACATTGACCCTTTTATAAATATGTTAGCATTAAATGCAAAAATAGGAACGTAATTTGAATTATTTATCTTTATATTTTTATTATAACGTTATGACTTAAAAGAAAATGTTTAACTATAATTTTCAATTTTATAGTGGTAGAGAATTTTAAAATATATTAATATATAAAAAAATAACTAATTGTAGGCTATAATAATTAAAGAGAAATTTTTCTTAGACTAAAACAAGTTTTTTTACTATCGTCTATTGGTATCGAAATTTGAATTTGGCTTTTTATTTGAGTTTTGATCTCATGAAGTTTCTTGTTAAATAATCCATTTATTAAGTCCAAATAATGGGACAGGTATGAAGTTCTTTTCATACAACTGTCAACGACTAAGATCTTACCGTTGTATGTAACAGCTTTTAATGCAGTCTGTTCCGCCGTGAAACCCCTGACTCTCAAGCCTACGAGAGGGGATACCCTATAAGGTCCGCACATACTTGTTTCCTTCCAACCCATCCAAAAATCAAAACATCAACTAGTACAAGGGACCTTCCTTATATTTCATGATTTTGGATTAGACCTTTAATACAAATAAATTTTTTTGGATTATCCTACTTCTAAAATTGTATAAACGCAGACAATAATAGAGGAATTATAGATTTTGAAAAGTAAATTAATCACAATCCAAACAATATCCTATTGTTATTCCGAAATCTTATATCTAACAAAATAAAAATAATTTCTATAATATAAACATTAAATACAAACATTTTTTTATTTTCTTTACGTGTTCAAGTTGATTTACCATAAATATTGGATGAGTAATGAAGGTAAAGTTAAACATGATGGGATTCATCGCGATGCTCTCCCACTCTCCCTCGAAAACCATCAAACAAAAAGTCATGTCCTTAATTCACGACTCAAAAGAACTCCATATCATCTTCCAAATCCATGCATTCCTTCTAAAAACTTCCTTACAATCCGACAACTTCATCATCACCAAGCTGCTTCGGAACTTCTCTTTGAATTCTTCAAACAATTTGCTTTATGCCAGATCCCTTTTTGACGAAATGCAATGTCCAGACACATTTCTTTGGAACACCATGATCAGAGCTTACTTAAATTCCCAAAACCACGACGAATGTCTGTCTTTATTTCACCAGTTGCGTCGCCAAGATCACCTCTTTATAGACAGTTTCAGCCTCTCTCTTGTGGTTCAAGCGTGTGGGAGGTCGGGTTTTCTTCAAAACGGTCAAACGATACATACCCAGGTATTGAAACTTGGTTTTGGGAATGATCTCTTTGTCCAGACGGGTCTCACTGAAATGTACGTGAAATTCGGGTGGATAGAATATGCGAGGAAGGTGTTTAGTGAAATGAAAGATCCAGACTTGGTTTCGTATAATGTAATGCTAGCTGAGTATGTAAGGATTGGGGAAATAAGTTTAGCACGCCAACTGTTTGATAAAATGTCTCAAAGAGACTTGGTTTCATGGAACATCATGATCCATGGTTATGCCTCACTTCCCCATGGAGATAAAGATTTGGTTTCTTGGAGCAAGCAGTCTCACGAGGCTTTGAATCTCTTCCATGATATGCAATTAGCTAACTTTTTACCTGATAAAATCACAATTGTGAGTGTCTTATCTGCATGTGGAGATTTATGTGCTTTAACTACAGGCATGAAAGTTCACAAGTACATAATTCAAAACCGAATCGAAATAGACATAAAGCTTGCAACTTCCCTCGTCAACATGTATGCAAAATGTGGAGATATAAACACCGCATTGAAAGTTTTCAATGACATAAAAAAGAAAGATGTTTTCTTATGGAGTGCTATGATCATGGGGCTTTCAAACCATGGGTATGGTGATCTTGCACTCGATCATTTCAACAATATGATAAATGAAGGAGTTAAACCAAATGGTGTCACCTTTATAGGTGTTTTAAGTGCTTGTAGTCATATTGGTTTAGTGGATAAAGGGTGGGAATACTTTAACTCCATGAGTTATGTATATGGATTAACACGAGAAATGGAACATTATGGTTGCATGGTTGATATTTTGAGTCGTGCAGGACATTTAGATAAAGCCAAAGATTTAATCATGAATATGCCTTTTGAACCGGATGTGGTGGTTTGGAGAGGGCTTCTTGGGGGATGTAAGATTCATAAAAATGTTGAAATAGGTGAAGAAGTTAATAGGAAAATAATGGTATTAGAAGGTTATGATGATGGAAATTATGTGTTGTTATCGGATATATATTGTGAAGGTAAGAGGTGGGAGGAAGCTGTAAACGTTAGGAAGAAGATGGAAGACGTTAGAATACAAAAGTCTTCTGGAATGAGTTCAATCGAGGTTGATATCACACCCAATCAAGATCTAGATCTGACAGACATACTGTATCAAAATTCATAATTTTTTGTTCTCTACAATATCGATCTATTGTTATTATGATAATGATTACATCTATACATACAATTTATACATCCATACATACAAAAATTAGTTGGTCAGAATAACCAACGCAACCGATAAGACCAAATATTGTTGTTGATAATTTATAAATGAATGATTAAAATTCATAATTTTTATTCTTTACAAAGAAATGATGAAACTAAAACATATAAAGAGAAGAGAGGAGGTGGATGGAAGTTTGCACCATGTCTAGCAATAAGTTACATGCAAGTGTTCAAAAGCATCAAAAGAAAGAAATGAAAAAAAAAAAATGTATATAACTTATAACTCTTACAATAATTGCCATTCTAAATGCATAAATCTATCTATAGATCATTGAAGCTCTTTTAACAAACTAGACACCAATATATACCATGTTACATGATTAGGTACAAACCCTTTAACAACACCTCTACTTAAAAGCAAACACGCTTTATCAAACATGCTTTCTTTACAATACGAAGATATCAAAGTATTATAAGTAATCACATCAGGACTCATACCTTTCAACTCCAAAACTTCAAACAGCTTCATACCTTCTTCCACATTTCTCATCTTGCATAACCCACTAATTAAAGTATTATAACTCACAATATCAGGAATCATCCCTGAATTCTCCATATCTTGTAAAAAATCAAACGCCTTTTGTAGTTTTCCAGTTTTAACAAATCCATTCATCAAAAGATTGCAAGAAACAGTAGTTTGATTGAAATCCTTCTCCCTCATCTTCCCAAAAACATCGAATGCTTTTTCAACAGCTCCATCTCTGCATAAAGCTTTTATTAGGCCATTGTATGTGATTTCATCAAGTGAGCATCCATGGAATAACATCGTGTCTACGAGGTTAAAAGCATCATTAATCAAACCTTGTTTAAGAAAAGAACGAATCAAAGTGTTGTAAGTTACAGTATCCGCAACAACACCTTCCAACACCATGTCTTTTCGACACATTCTCAATGCATGTTGAATCATTTCAATCTCACATAACCCAAATATTAGTGAATTGAAAGTGAAAATGTCGCGTTTGCATCCATTCATACGCATTTCTTCAAACAAGTTTACAGCTTTATAGACATCACCATACTTACATAACGAATGTATGATTGAATTGTATCCAATTGTGTTTAAACTCAACCCCTTTTGTGACATTTCTTGAATCACCTCACTTGCTTCATCAAATCTTTGATTCTTACAAAATCCATCAATCAAGATTGTGTAAGTGATTGTGTTGGGTTCATAACCTTTTGATTCCATTTCTTTCATCAAATCATGAGCTGAAACCAAATGCCCAGTTTTGCAAAGACCATGAATGAGTGAAGTGTATGTATGAATATCAGGATGACAGCCATTAATGGACATCTTTTCACTCACAATTGCTTTAGCTTCATCAAACTGCCCTTTTGCAATAAACCCGTTTACTAACATGTTGTACATGATGCTATTTGGTTCATGAACTCTAGTAATTAGGGTTTTAGCTTCTTCCACTTGCTTATTTCGACATAATCCATGGATTAGAACCCCATAAGTTAGGGCATTTGGAGTGAACCCACGAAGAAGCATCCTATCCATTAATTTTGCAGCTTCATGGATTCGATTTGATCTACAAAGAGCATGAATAGCATCGTTGAAAGTTTCAAGATCAGGTGTACAACCCATGACTATCATCTCTTCCAAAAGTGTTAACGCTTTATCTACTCTATTATCTTTGGATAATGCGTGAATCAGGGTCTGGTAAACTTTTGAGTTTGGAGCACATCCATACTTCGTCATGCGTCTAAGGAGAGTACATGCGGAATCAACTTCGTTAATGGAGCAATGTGCTTTCATTACAATCGCAAAACTGAAGACATCAGGAGGGATGCCTCTTTCAAGCATTTCGTCGAACAATTTGGGTGCGTCTTTGAAGCAACCTCCTTGGACGAGTATATCCAGAACGGCGTTATACGATTTGGAGGTCGGTTGACACAAGAAAACGTCTCGCATTTTTACCAAAAGCAATCTCCTGGCTTGACCAGGTAAATCGGCTCTCTGGTAATGCCTCATGATCATAACGAAAAGGGTTTCTTGAAAAACTATCCCTTCGTCTTTCATCTGCATCAACAATCTATCGATGGTCTTGAATTCTCCAACCGCTCCAATCTTATCGATTAATGCGTAATACACGTCGAACGTATGAGCGTAGCCTTTTTGGGTACTGGCGGAATTGAATATCTCAAGTGAAGTTGATACATCAAGTGGAAGGTGAAGTAATTTTTGAAGCTGAAGTGGGGTGATTCTATGGAGCGATTCCCTGAGTTGTTCAATGTCGAAAGGTTTAAGCAATCTCGCCCAATCGGTTTCAGACTCTGAACAACTTCCATTGCCGTTTGAAGTAGAAAATGGATAAATTTGGGTTTTGTTTAGAGATTTTAGGATTTGGAGAACATAGGTTGATGAAAATTTTGATCTTTTCAACATGATTTGAAGAATTGACATGAAAATGCGTGTGGTAATGATAGTAGGATCGCAGAGAGCTCATATCTGGGTCGGAAGCGAAGAACACCGTAGTTGCCACATCAACTGAAAACAATATTCCAACATCTTCCTTTGTTGTTAACGACTCCAAACATAATATAGAGTAAAATTTAATTTTTAAATAATGAGACTTTCACAAATCTATTGATAATAGTTATTAATTTAAAAACCAATTCATAATATAATTTCTTTTACAAAAACAAAAAATTATCATCTACAACTACAAACAACACAATTTAGAGATTTATTTCAACGTCTACTCATCAAAACCACAAGAATTATTCTTGTAAAACCAATCAAGTTAATATATTTCTTTTATATAAATAAAAACAAAGCAATATAAAAATCTATTGCAATATCTTACTTTCAAAACCACGAGAGGTATAAATCATATAAAAGACGACAATGGTTGTCCATCACTTCCATGTAAATAGAAGCCAATCCTAATGAAATCATTTTAATTTTTGGAGAAGATGAACATTACATCATTTTTTATTTTATTTTTTTATTATTTTTTTTTTTTTGTAGCAAACGATTATTCTTCTAGCAACAGAGAAGTAAATCTGACATACTATGCCCCATTAGATATTTGATATAAAGATGTAGTGCTCACAAAATTTTCAATCCATTATGAACCTTCTATATAACTGTTGATGTATTTTTTATATGAAATTAGTAACAACATTAATATATTTCACTTTCTTATAATAAATATATCCATTGAATTTTGGTTTGTAATTTCCATACAACATCCCATTAAATATAGAAAACACGTACGTAAGTTTTTATACAATACACGCACGTTTTACAGATATTGAGTAAATTGACTATAAGAATGAGCCACATTGAAGGTTGTGTGTTTCCTGAACATTTCTTGCAGCCTGTTTGACCTTTTGACCAGTCAAATAATGGTTTCTACAAACAGGCATGTACACGTCAGCACCAGCCACTACTTCTCTCTCTGTCTCCTCTGTTTTCCTTAAAGTAAAAAAAGCAGGCTTCCCACACACCTCACACCGTGCCTTTAATTTCGTTACAGTATCTGCAATCGGTATTATATCTAGCACCCCAAAGCTCCTCCTGAAAAATACCAAATTGAAAAAAATAAATAATACAAATAAATGAATAAAATAAAAATGTTGAATTACCACAAATGGAAAAAAAAAAAAAAATTACCGCAAATAATCACCATCCAAGCCAGCAACAATTACAGTTTTGCCATCATGGTCAGCAGCTTTAATGCAGAAATCATACAAGTCTTCAAAAAACTGAGCTTCATCAATTCCAATCACCTCTAGCTATCATCACACATTATTAAAAAAAAAAAATCACTAAAATTTACATTTGCTTTGATTTTGAGGTAGAAGAAGAAGAAGAAGAAAATAGAAAAGACAAGGGCAAAATGGTATTTTTTTCAAAAGTTTATGAGCCGAGATGTGAAATCAGACGGCTCAAAACTATAAAGGTAATTAAAAAGTTTCTTTTTTGGACCATATCCAACAAAGTCGATATAATACAGGGACCAAAAGTGTAATTAACCTTATGATAAGCTTCAAGACCAATTCTTTCTTTGAATGATGATAAAGCTTCAAGTGGCCAACATGAAAGCTTCTCCCCATCATGTGTCACAATTGAATCCAATCCATATCTTGTATCCTTACTAGACTTTATAACAGCTGCATTTCTACAAACAAATATAAACATTAATCACACTACTACAGCTAACAACAATTCAAACTAATAATTTTCCTCAACCAAAAAAAAAAGATCCACATCAGCTAATGAACTCACAAAAAATTTATGCTATCATAAAAAAATATGATACTTGCTGGAAGAATAACCCTTTTGATCAGAAAAAGTAGCTAGAAAGAAATAGAATCTTTTAATATACAATTCAAATCCTTGATAACTTCATATATTTTATCAGTTTCTTCATGCATGTTATCCCCCATAAAGAAAAAATGGACCTTTTTTTGCACCTCAATCATGCTATAACCAGGCTCCTTTTTCATCCCCAATTCCTTCAATCCACTCCTAATCTCAGCAACATTTTCCCACTGACTAAAACTCGCATAAGCATTTGATAAAACCACATATTTACCAACATTATCACTTTCCAATTCAAAATACTTTTTTGCTGCAATTTTCACCATATCCATGTTTCCATATACCTTACAAGCTTGAATAAGTGCACCCCATATCACTGGGTGGTCTTTACATGGTGCACTTTTTACAAACTCAAAAGCTTCATCTAACCTTCCTGATCTTCCTAAAATGTCCACCATTGCTGCATAATGCTTTTCCCCAGGGGTAATCCCGTAATTTCTTCTCATTGATTGAAAATACTCCCAGCCCTCTTTTACCAAACCTCCATGGCTACAAGCGGAAAGAACTACAAGAAAAGTAACACTGTTTGGTCTAAATCCTTCGTTTATCATTCTATGGAAAGCATCTAATACCTCTTTTACCCTTCCATGTTGTCCATATCCAGATATCAAGGAAGTCCATGTAACAATATTTTTATCTGAGGACTTGTTGAATACTAAATGTCCATCGTATGGACAGCTGCACTTGAAATACATATCGATTAGGGCACTATTGACTACAAGATTTCCATTTATTTGGGTCTTGATCATAACCCCATGTGCTTGTTTACCCTGTTCTAGTGTTGCCAGGGTGGCACATGCCCTAAAAACTGAAGAAAAAGTGAACTGGTCAGGTGTTAAACCATTTTGTCTCATTTTGTAATAAAGATTCAAGCCCTGTTCTTCAAGACCCTTTTGGACATAACCTGAAATCATGGCGTTCCATGAAATCACATTTGGGATGAGTAATTTCTTGAAAAGAATGTGGGCAGTGACTAGATCGCCTGATTTTGCATATAATATAAGCAACTTGATGTTTAGGTACTCATTGGGAATAAAACCAGATATAATCATTTGTGAATGGATTCTTTTCCCAAACTGATAATCTTTTTTGAATATGCAATCTTGCAAAAGAAGGGAGTAAGTCTCTGAGTCAACTTGGTGTCCTGTATGGCATAGTAATCCAACTGCTTCTGCTAGTCTTCCTGAAAAACATAGATTCTTCAATGTTTCCTCCATGTTGAGGAAGCCCTTTGAGACCTTATCCTGAAATCTGGGAATATCTTACCAGTGATAATTGCATTCAGCTATTGGAACAGAAAGCAAGGAGAAATTTACGAATTTAACATGTGAATCGATTGAACATTCAGCTATAATTTAGATTGAATGCAAAATATGAAGATGAGGTGAATTTATTCCAGCTTTTGATGATGTTGTTGGAGCCATTTTTGCTTTACTAATGATCGACTTAAAACCATTGTTTGGATGAATTGCGACAGATACAGTAAGACATTCATGTAATAAATTCAATGAAGTAATTGAATTAGCAGACTACTAAGGTGAGGTACAAACCTGCCATTAGAGCTTTCAGATTTAATCCGGCGAAGCAAAGTGGTGGTTTTTCCAGCGAACATAGGGCCCACAATTACGTGAATTTCACCCTCAGTTTGGTGGCAATGGCCGTTTTCTTCGGTGATTGACGAAGAATAAGCTGAGGATAATCTAAGACGACGTAGTTGAGGGAGATAATTAGGGTTTCTAACAGGTAAGAAATTAGAAATGGAAGAAAGCGAGTTAGACGGATTAAAAACAAGATTTGGAATTAAGATCGCGGCTGTTCTTGTTGGAAAGATTAGTGATTTCATCGTTAAGTTATCAGCGGCAGAGCTCAAGATATGGTGTATAATGTAATATGTGAAGACTGAAGAGTAAAACAGGGTTTAGGGTTTTAGGAATTTTGGCGCCGGAGACATACACGCAGCTGCCCTGGAAATCCTCATACTTAAATTTCTATTTCTTTTATTATATGTTTTTCATTTTTCATGTTTACAACGTTTTTTTTTTTTAAATTATATATATATATATATATATATATATATATATATATATATATATATATATATATATATATATATATATATATATATATATATATATATATATATATATTAAATTTATCTTTCCTTAGCTACTGTATAATTCCTACTTATTTGTGTGATATTGTCCTTCTATTTTCGTGGTTTTGTTTTTATTTTCTTGATTCTAATTTGTCGCTTATTCCCCTTCTATTTCTTTTTCTTTTGCTGCTACTTTGGTTTTGGTTTGTCGCCAATTTTAGTTCCTAATGTCAATGTTTTTCTCCTTTGGTCCCTTGACTAGGTTTTCAATGGCTAGTTACGTGTGTTAGACACGTGTTACTTACTCTTTCCATCGATTGCATCGACTTTGTAAGACACTCCCTTTTGATGCAACGTGTTCGTCACCGCCTTTCTTAGTCAATTTATCTTCCATCTGTTCTTCCACCTCCGCTTCTTGTATCAATTTCTTCTCCATACTACGACTTTTCGAAATCGATTGAACCATAGGTGCAATCCCCACGGGAAGGAAAAACAATTCTAATTTTCACCGACAATAGGTGCATTCCCTACCCATGTTTAGCTTTTTCGTTGTTGCGTGTTGCTATGTGGTCCTTAGAAAGGAGGAGACGACATACAATATACAGGTATTAGGAAGAGAAGAAAGAAAATCAATCATATTGTTTGCCTTGCCAGCTGCTTCTCTCTTCCCCTTCTTAAAATCGATTAACTTACATTTATTTTGACCAAGATATTAACAAGGTATGAAATTTGAAATTGACTAATCTTCTTTTATTCTGCCATCGATTGCTTCATCAATGCCCATTCATGTTTGTAGAGTTACTTCAGATAAGGTGATGCTTGAAGGCACATTTGTTTAACTCTTTATAGATTGATTTAAATTTCTCTACCATAGATTCTAAAGTGATGTCTGAAACATATTTTCTTATTGATTAAGCACAACATACAACAATTATCAATATGTACAAAGTAGTAATAATTTGAACACTCAATTATTATTGTGCAGGGAATATGGGCGTCTGTTCAACGTACCTGAGTCACCTCCATCATACCCCAAGAATACAATTCAACTATACCACCCAGTTGGTTATGAGATTTGAAAGTAAATTTGATGATGCATGCCAACTGTTCAACAAAATTCCTGAACCAAGTTTTTGAATTTTTATTCAAATCCATTATTCATATTTTACATGAATCTTAATTTTGTGCTCACTCAGTGTTTAATGTTATCTTTTTAACCTCTTTTATGAAATCAATAAACTGGAATATTGTTTGGTTTCTATTAACTGTAGGAAAGTTCAAGCTGACCTATGTGACAAAGAATATTCAATTGATGATGAATGACTTACTTCCCCATATTATTTGGTTCGAGACAGGTAACTTTGGCTGCTTTATATCCTGATATCTTGCTTATTACATACTGAAAGGACTAATACTAGGAAGAAATACTTTAAAAAACTTGTTTTTTTGTAATGCATATACCTGATTGCAAATATACTAAGGAAGTAATTCATGAGAACAACTCTTAAAAAATGGGGAAACAGGTATGTGATCCAATCTCATTTTCATCTTTTTTAATCGGGGGCATTTGTTACTTTTTTCTCCAAAAAATGGCTAATATAATCTACCATTTATGTATTTTTTGCTTATGCTTATTCAACTCATTTATTTTATCTATATATTATAACTATATATTATCTAGATGTAAGTATATCTAATATGACCATTGACCGATGTGATAAGTTTTGATGAGAAGTTATTTCTAGGAACAAGTTATTTAGGCATTGAAAGGTATGAGCATGTTTGTATTGTTGTTCGATTTAGTAATCAGTTGGTGATAATCTTTCTCATATACATTACTCTGTTTTTCTTAATCAAGAACACAATCCATTCTTGATCGGTTCAGAAATTTTTTGTTAGAGGTGATTAAGGAGGTATTACAAAGGTATGTATGGATGAGAATCCCAACTCAAAGGTCAAGCTTTCATAGGTTTATAAAATACATAGTTTTAACATGATGACACATGACAATGATCGAATTTCATAGAAGCTAGCAGAGGTTGACGAAATATTTGCAGCCGAAGTTATGATTTTAAAGATGTTTAGTGGAAATTTGGATCTAAAGTCTGGGGTTTGTTTAATTCTTCTAAATGGTTGTCTTTTCTTATTTGTTATTCGGTTTATTTTACATTTTACTATGTAGTTCTTATTTTATTTTATTATTATTTTTTTTGCTGTTAAGATCTGTCATTTTCTGAAACAAGGTCACCATATTGGAATGAAGAAAATAGTAGAAAATTGGTGAATGTGGTTGCTAATTCCCCTGATTAATTTTTTCTTTTATGGACTTGTCGTAGGTCTTGATTTTCTAGGTGGCATGATTAGGAGGACAACTGGATGGAAAATTGATATTGTAAACTAAATAAATTTAGTAGTCTTTGTAAGTGGCAGATTCGACTAAAAGTTAGAAAAGATGGGATGCTTATCAGGTCATTTTTTAATATTTGGGTGTTAGTTACTCTTTTGTTGTTCTGAATAATAATGTCGTTTGGGTATATAATTATTCAAATGAGTTATCTTTTCTTATGATGACTCAACACTAACTAAACATCTTGACATTTTTTGTAAAGTAATAAAAAATAAATAAGATACTTGCACATCCAACCATTCCATTTATTATGTCCTAAAAATGTAATAAATTCCAACTTATTACTCATCTAACAATTAGTCAAAATATGATATCCTTCTGTTCCATGTCGCATGCGGAGCATCCGATATCCTTTCGTCCGTTCCATGTCCCATGTGGAGCATCCGATATCATTTCGTCCCATGCGGAGCATGGGCATCCTACTAGTTATAATTTTTTTTAACGTTTAACACACCCATTAAATTTTATTTTTGAATTATTCTGTTATCCATGGTGAGACTTGAACCATCAACCCTTCAGCGGATACACATATTTCCAATTCCTTGGATGTATTTTGCTAACTAAAAAAAATGTAATGTAACATTTATAAAATTGATTTAGAACAATTACTAATAAATTTGGTTATAGTTTTAAGGTTCGACTAGACTTTTAAAAGAGTCATCCTAAATTTTTATTTTTAGGAAAAAAGGAAATTTTAAGCTCACTAATAGGTTAATGACGTTCAATTTGAAAATGAAAGCTAGATATGGCTTGATTTTTCATTCATTTGTTGCTAATCTTTTTAACGACTTTATTACCGATGTTGGACTCGTTGATATTCCTCTGCCCAAATCCTGCATCGAACAATACAAGCGCCCTATTGCTAACCAAACACAATGATCACTCAGCTCTGGAGATCTTGAAGATTACTCTTGTAATCTTAACCAATTGGATGATCCCAATCGCTTTTGAAGACACCCTTTTACCAAAGAAATTTGAAGGTGAATACAAATTTACCACCATATTACCGCAGCCTAAAGACCGGTAAATGCTACGGGATACACTGCAGTCCTAAAACACTCTCGCCCCGACACAACTTTCCAAAACCTTGCTGTCGATCCATCAGATTGGTCTCACCCAGGGTCGAGCACCCACTAGCAATGTCACCTGTTGACACGATCAATCCTGCTACGCTTGTAGCAACCCATACTCTTGGAGTGATAACCCCACCGTATGGTTCCTCGCACGTGCCATACTGACTTTGGCCTTGCTGGCCTTTCAATCATCGTTCAGAAGTCTTGGGTCTCTTCCTGAGACCATCCGCTAAATGCACCTAACCTACACCTATCTTCCCGAGGTACTCTAAATCGATTTCCTTCCCTCGAGCTCTGGGATTCCTATCATTCAACGTCTGGCACCCTGACACACTTACAAGCTCAATCGTCAACGGAAGAATTGAAATAGTTGGAGCAACCTCTGCCCTAAACCGGACTACAATCTACTCCCCATACATAGTCTCCAATCCCGAAAGTGCAATAGGTTGCACAATCAATCCTTGTCGCCCGATACAAGAGATCCAAGCCGAACCGAACCTTAGCTCTTATGGGGTAGGGCTAGTGTGGAAAACACTTTTCATTCTCGTGAACTCAGAACTCTGACAGTCCTTGCACTAACTAGCTCACCACCAGAGCCGAGACCAAACCCTGGTCCTTCCCCATGCATGCTCATCCTTATCTTGCAAAGCATTTATTCCCATGATCAAAGCATAACCAAGAATTCTCTTTCCCATAATTTTCTTAGATTATTCAAGACTCTTCTGGATTCGAGTATTGATCTCGTGCTTTCAGCAATACAGGCATAATACTACCTTTTACACCTATCCACACTTTCCTCAGCAATCATCCCGTAGCCTCCAAGTCACCATCTCAAACTAGCACTCCAAATGTTCGCTAACATCGCAACGAGATCCACTAAAGCATTTCCTAGGCCTTCCTAGGTTTCCGTCCTCACCCTGCCATCAGCTGCTGAAGAACTCTCCATAATGCCAGTAGCTACCTCATGAATATAGTCACATGGAATAAAGGTCAGATAATCCTTCGAGTGAAAGACTCATCCCTACAACGGTTAGACTCAAATGAGAGCTGTGTAATAGGGTTAAATCTATCATTTTGAGATTATTCAACCCTTAATACATGTGATTTAACACATTCACTTAATAGCTAACTTATTGTTGGATTAGGTGTCTAAGCCCATAACTATAAGTGGTATGTACTTGACCCGAGAGTAGCATGGTCCATTTAGGTTGCATGCCACCAGGACAATTTGATAGGATAGACTTTTGAGAAAAGGTTATTTATGATTTGTTAATATATTATAAGTTCTAATATATTAATATGAAATCATATGATTTAATTAGTATTGATTAAGAATTAATTTGGAATTAATTTTGTGATAAAATGAGACTAATTAAATATATGGGGATTGATTTGGTAAATTATTCATTCTTATGGTGTGGGCTAATGATCCATGATTCCTTAGGTTGGGCTAAACCCATGGATGATCAATGGAGGTTTAAACCCATGGAGCCCAAGGAATATGGAAGGCCATGCACATTATGGTTTACATGGTGTAACCCTAATCTTGCCATATTATATAAGAAGCCCCTTAGCATCCAAAATTGACTACTAGATGCACTAGTGTTCTTGGAGATCAATGAGCTGATTTTGGTGCAAGAAAAATACTCTCTCAAAAGTCTCATTTGCTCTAGGTGTGTTGTGATTCCATTTGAGGTGCAACACTTAGGGCACTAAGTTCTTAAAGACCAAACTCAAGAAGTTCTACAAGCTACAAAAAAGAGGTAATTCTATGACTCTCTTTTATGTTGATTATGCCATTTCCATGCTAGTTGTAGGCTTAATGCTTTGGAAACAATATTGCATGTATAATTAGAGAAAAACATAGATCCAAATCATTTAGGGTTGTATGTGTCGGATAAGGTGTCTAACTCCAAATTATATTTGGTATGTAGTTGACCCGATTTGGCATGGTTCATTAGGGTTGCATGGAATCGTAACAACTGG